GAAGAAGAAGAATCTTCTTCTAGTGGCTGCGAGGCATATTGTCAGGTCACTAATGTTAACATATGGAAAATCATTATATCATTTACATTCCTATAAATTCAAACCCTTACTTCCAAGTCGCTACCGAAATTATTTCTTATAACGTTTTAACCCATTTAGCTATAATATGTTGGCTATGATAATTTCGTAGAAAAGGAATGGATCTTTTACGCATGTGTCACACTCACAACTTTAGTTAATTACAGAATGCGGACGTGGGTGCTGCGCCACGCCTTAACTCCTTTTTTGCCTGAAGATTTAGTAGGATTTTCACTTATTTTGAGAAAATACTGCTGTAAAAATGCCACATCCAAACATTGACGAACTATCACCATTTGTTTTTCAAGGTCTTATGGATCCAACGTCAGAATTTGCAATTAGAACTCCCACTGGTTGAAAACGAAATTTTAAATCTCGCGCATGCGCACGATGAATGGACCTTCCCTTACTATCGGTATAGGCAGGGCCTCTATATATGTCGCAGCTATACGTTTTAACCTATAACCTAACCTATACCTGAACTTTTTGTAAACAAAAAATGTAAAAATTAACTCTTGGTCAAATGTTAAATTGAACTTGAAATAGAGGAACGAGATTAAAAGCAAACGTTAAAACCAACACGATTGCTGGCGTCGTCGAAGTTGTGAGCCTGGGACGACAAACCGAAGCTACGTGTACGACTAGGAAAGAGCATCGTATGCAACGTCACAAATTAAACTCGCAACTGTTACGTTGCCACGACCAATGGGAATATTTAATTTGAAATCTAAATGCAATTAGTGCACTACCACCGAAATATTAAATATGCTTTTGTAATATTAGGGATTAATAATGGAGTCGGTCCGAATTGATACCCCTGCAATCTGTTATTTAAAATTTCGGAACTGCCTGTATTTGTGCGCGACTACATTGTTATGCAAAATCAGCTTTTATATCAAAAATTCCGGTACATAAATTGCAATATCGACAGCAGCTAAACGTAAGAAAAGCAGTGATTGAAATAAATAACTTATAATAGATCACACAAATTTTTTGCTGGATGAAAAAAGATCCTAACTCTACTATGTCTGGTTAGGGATCAGCAATGAAAAGAAGAACGTTATGTTTCTAGTCCGTGTGTTATATAACAAAGATAGAGATCTATTTAGCCTGGTTAAGTTGCATGATTAGTAATTTTACTTTATAAGCACCGAGCATAACGGGTCGTTTTGGTCGGACTCAAACAGGAGCCACATGTGGTTCTTGTGTGTGATAAACATGAATTTATCTTCATTTAGCATAAGAAAGTTTCTCGTTAATTTATTTAACACAAATTACCTAAAGAGTTCCATAAAATTAGTATTAGAGTTATAATTTCAGCATATACTAAACCAAAATGTCAGAAATATGACGGATGCAATTGTTGGCTGTCTTTACGTGCAACACAAATAAAGTAAAAATTATGAAAGATTACTATCACAAGTGTAATTATACATTTAGTATAAATTCTCTTATAGAGAAAACCATTTAGTTCTACTTTTAACTAACTTTTTAAAACTTTTTAAAAAATGCAGAAATTGATGTAATTTGTATATTGGATTTTATACTAGACTTCAACTGTTTCTAGTTTATAGATTACGGATTTTCCTTATACACGAGCGTGGGTGTATAAGTGGTAAAAACATTTTTCTAAAAAACCATTTAATCAAAACTCCCGAACACTAAAAAATATTGTGTACAGTGACTCACACCTTTGCATAATAAAAACTAACTGGTCTGAATGTCTCTTTATTTATTTGGCAAAAAAAATGTATTGAAATTAAGTTAGTAAAGAGCCTTCTAAAAAAGTGTGAATTCCTTTTTGTCTTAAATATGCCTTACTTAGTTAACACTAAAAAATATTAATGTCACAGCTTAAATGATGCAAAAAAATAATAACCGGGATCAAAATTTATCAGTTTGAAATTTACCAAGCCGGCGTGGGTTTTATTTATTACTGCAATTATTTTTTGTTTCGTTTGATATTCTAAGACACGTTTTCGTTCAGTAAAACGAATGATTTTAAAAATAGGTCGTCGGACTACAATTTCTGAGAGTCATTTAATTATTACTCATCACAGAAATGGATATAGCCAAAGATACATAGCCAAAATGGTAAATAAATGTCCGTCAACTGTTGAGCGTTACTGTAACGAAAATCGGGTCGAAAATAAATCAAGGTTAGCTCCAAATAAGATCTTCAATGAACGGGACGAAAGATCGATTGTAAGAGAGGTATCGAATTGTCCAAAAAAAAGTGCTCCAAAGATTTCTGTCGAGGTGGAAAGACAGTTTGGAAAAAGGTGTAATCCCGAAACAATTCGAAGAATCCTGCGAAAAAATAATTTAGATGGTCGAACAGCCAGAAATAAGCCTTTCATTAGCCGAACAAATAGACGCGTGAGATTGGCATTCGCTAGAGAACATATCGATAAAGATAGGAACTTCTCGAATTCAGTAATATTTGGCGAAGAGACCAAAATAAACTTGTTTGGATCCGATGGAAAAATATCAGTATGGAGAAAGCCTAAGGAAGAATTAAAATTGAAAAATTTAAAAACTACGTTAAAGCACGGTGGAGGTGGATTAATGTTATTAATGTATATCCCCTGCAGGAATAGGTAATATACATTTTATTGAAGGAAATATGAACCAATATGTGCATTTGGATATATTAAGACAGTATCTGGTTCATAGTGCCCAAAAATTAAATATGGGTAACAAATATCGGTTCTATGACAATGATGTTCATGGTTGATGGACAATGAGGTTGCTTTATAACTGCCCAAATGTTATTAAGACACCAGCTCAGTCACCAGACTTAAATGTAATTGAAAATTTGTGGTTGACATTAAAAAACAAAGTAAATAGTGATGAATGAATTAAATGAATTAAAAGTAAAAATTACTGAAGTATGGAACCCAATTTCCCCGGAGTATAATAGAAAATTAGTTGAATTAATACCCAGAAGACTACAAGCTGTTATTGATAATGAGGAGTATTTCAAATTATGCAGTTGTTTTTCTCCATTGATTTGGTTATATTTTGTTTTGCATTATTTAAGCTGTCACGTTAATATTGTCTATAATTTAATTAATTCTTTATTATTAACTAAGTAAGGCATATTTAAGACAAAAAGTAATTCACACTTTGTTAGAGGGCTCTTTACTAACTTAATTTCAATAAATTGTTTTTTTTTGTCAAATAAATAGACATTCAGACCAGTTAGTTTTTGTTATAGCGACTGCATCATTTAAGCTGTGAGTCACTGTACGTTAATTAAGGGTCAAAAAGTTAAATAACAATCTTTAACAAGAAAAATCCACCCAATTGAACATATTTTGCTCGAACACATCCTAACACATAATGTTAGATAGAAATACACCTACAACTTGCATCGTGTCTACCGCGCAAAGTGGTGAAATTAAAAATCCCATGGGTAACTTATTTAATCCTTCCGTGTTTGTTTACAGATTGTACTCGCGTAAACTGACAGTTTGCAAAGCTTTTCTCCTCCTTTTCATGATAAAAATTAAATATTAATTACCTTTCAACGCCGCACCGAAATCCGTCGATATGCAGTAAGTTATCACGATCAGTTTTATATGCATTTTAGTAACGAAATTTCGTACCGACAAAAATTCGGAGTACCAAAAACAATCAATGAAAATGCATAGTTGATTTTTGTATTATTACTGTGGCACTTGGAACACGTTTCTGTCGACGAATCGTTGAGAAGCGCCGCGTCCTATTCTGGCAAGAGCTAGAAATTTCACTGAATGTGGAAACACGAAAAAGCGGGCAATATATGTCCCGTGCGAAGCGTCCTGAAAGCATGCGCTGCGTGTTTCCATCGACATTTTACTATTCGGAAAATGAAACCACCATAATAACAGATACTTTATAGCCAGCTATTAAAACTTAACGGCAGTGAGATATAGAGTTTAGATAATCTGTAATAATGTCGCGTGGCCAAATTAAAAACTGTAATTTGATGGAAGTCCTGATTCGCAACGAACTTTTGAAAATGACTGTCTGCACACAAGTGCGAGAGTTGTGAGTTTCCTTTGCTTTGGACAGCAACATAACTAATATAAAATATTTCAATAAGTTGACCCCTTACGTCACACACTTGCGAGGCTTACGAGAAGTATCTATCCTATTTTATTTTATAGCTATTTCCTGGCCGCAATAAAATAAAATGAAGGCATTAAATTTCCTCGGTTTTATGGCACAAATTAAACATAATTCGTAAATATCTATATTTTTTTATTTATTAAGTTCTACGACAATTTTTGTATAGTGACATACAAAACAGGAAACTTACATAATTAACACAAAAATATTCACGGCAATTTGTTTCAGGGCAATGAGGATATGCAATGCCCGAGAGATCCTGGTCGAATTGCCTAGTTTTATGTGAATCAAAAGAAGAATTTGAATCTCAATATTATTTTTCCATAGTAACAGATATTCTCATCCACGTTAATTATTAATTATTAATAATTATTATTAATTATCACCAAAAGACCCGTAACGCAATGTAACACTAATTTATGCCCCTTTGCACAACAGTAGTATCATTTTGTAACGATAGATTGCGTGGTCCATGAATTATTTTGCGATCCGTGTCTCAAAATTTCTGCGCAGCCTCCTTGGCGCTCTCAGCTGTTCCCGAATTTCCAGCTGGGACCGTTTAAAATTAAATTCAAAGTCGGTTAAAGTGATACAAACGATAAGCACGTGCATGTTTTGTGAAGATCGATTATTGTTTTTTGTTCTGTATTTTCGGTTGGTAAGACAAAGCGTTTACACTTACTTATGGTGTTTATTAAATTCCTTTTGAATGTTCGTCCGAAAGTTCTAGAATTATTTGTTGTTTGTTATTTGAAAATAATTTTTTATGGTGACCCAACTCTTTTTCAAGATATGTAATTTTTCAGTTTTATGCTAAAATATGCCCCGAAAACCGGCAATTGCCGAACTACAAGAGGCCGAAGTGGCGTCTCCTCTGAGAAGATCGACTAGGAATGCTTCTGCATCCCACACTGAATCTTCTGAAACTCCTGCCAAAATCACTAGGAGTAGGCGGATTTCAGCAGCACAAGAAAATGAAGACAAAGTGGATTCTAAGCCAGCAAGCAGGACCAGACAAGGTATATTAATTTGAGATATGTTGAAAATTTTACGCATTGATTAAATGAGAAATAATTTGTATTACTCATTTTTGAAATTTGATTGCCTAAATGGGGTGGTAAAAATGAAATGAAATAGCTTCTAATTGGAACAATTTTAGTCTAGTTCTAACTAGACAAAAGTGTGTATGGCTTGTTATAGTTTATGTACTTCGAAAAATTTTATTCATTTTTTTAAGAACCTACCATACCAATGCCTGTGGTTTTATTTTATATTCGTAGCAGTAAAGTACACATATTATTAAAGTATTATTTATTAATTATAATGTATAACAACTAAAACATTACTACTCATTTCTGGCGTGCTCCGAAATCGTGTTCTTATGTTTTCTTGTCGGATGTGACGTCGTTGGGGGCAACGTCACTTCATGGGAAGCGCCATCTATTACTTGGTCACTAAACTAATACGAATGGTCTAAAGAACCCTGTATGACACACCTGAAGGAAACATATGCAAGGTAATAAATATAATCAACAATGCATTTGACAAAATAAATTTGTGATTTAGGCAAAACAAACTAATAATAATTAACAGTAAAACGAAAGTTATTTAATTTCGAGCAAAACAAACTCAACTCACCCTGATTCCTGATTATAAAACAAGTACTAAGTTTATAATAAGTACAAATTTCTTAGGAATTCACATAAGTGAATATCTGGACTGGGACCCTTATATTATACCGAATTAAACAAGATAAGGATATACTATCACAAAAATATCTAGGGATATGAGGTAGTGCTTCTGTCATCAAAAATTGTTTTTATCATACATTGAAGAACAAAAATTCTTGTAAAGTAAGCTTTAGTCAATTGCATGTAATGATTGTATTAAAACTTAGAAATTACCTTATTATAAGTGCATTAAGATTTATAACCATCTATCAAATTTTGTGAAATGTATCAACACTTGATGAATATTTTGGTTAGTCATTGAAATAAAAAAGTTTTGTTATTAATTTTTAATTTAATAATTAAATTTATTGAATTACCAATAACATATATATTTAAAAAGTGAAAATGTTTAGTATGGAGATTGTGCTCACTAACAAATTTTATTATAGTATATTTCAAGCACTTTTTATAGCTAACTAACATTTGACAAATGTTGGCAAAATGCGAAATTTACTGCAAAACTTTGCTCTGTACTACTTATGTCAAAGTACTAGAAAATAATATATTTGGTTTCAAAATCATTTATCTCAGATTGTTATTGTGTTTTTTTTTCTTAGAAAATAGAGTTGCAGAAATACACATTTTGCTAATAAATTTCATATATAATGTGGGTATTTTTAATGAAATTAAAAGTTTTGAAATTTCAATTCCCGGCCTCCAGGGGCTTTTTAAAGTTTTAGTACACATTTTTAACTTAAGTTTTTCAATGATTTTCGATTACTTCCTTCTTTTTTATATATATTTTTTTATTTTTCGTGTATTCTTAAAGGTGTGGTTGATATTTTTCGACAAGTAATAAACAAAAGTTGAATTTAAAAATGCAGTCACGGCTGACTTTGTATCGCGAAGAGCGCCGACGGAAAAATAATAAAATTAAGCTTCTCGATTCGACGCTACCGTAGCGAGAAAAGTATGGACTTAACGGATATACAGGAGCCGTCGGTGAGTTCCCTCGCTGATGGAGCCACCGTAAGTTTCTCCGTCAGCTGAGTCTAGGATCAACCAAATAAAAATTAATTTTAAATATGCTATATAGCTTTACTATTGTTTCTATTTCAAAACGAAAATGGCAAAATCCACTTTTACTCTATTAAATTTTAGCGTCGGTTTGTCGTAAAATCTGACGTAAATATGATTTGCCCCTTTCTGTAGGACAGGTAAACAAAGCATTTTGTTTAATTTTTTATTTTTTCTACAATTTTTTTTATGATCTTTTTCATTGTATTTTTATTTTAACCTTTTTTTTATTTTAAATGTCTTTTGTAAATATTTCTACTAAATTATAATAAGCTTATTATAATTGTTAACTTTTTCCTTTTTTATTTTAAATCATTTATGTACTCGTCTTTATCTGTCATGTGATTCAGTGTAAACTTTATTCACTATAGCTGGTAAGACATGATTTGGTGTTGTGTTCCTCAACGTAATATTCTACTCTGCAACAGTTTAAATATATCATAATTAAATATTTTTGTAATATTATTGCTGTGTAGGAATTATGTTTGGTAGAACTATTTTTGTATTAATGTTTATTTAAAAAATATATATTTCAAGTATATTTTATTATACAGTCGGTTTTTCTGGAATGCAGAATGCCATAGTTACTAACGGATATGCTGATATTATTAGAAACTTATTGTGAACAATTCGTCGTCCCTAATTTGTAAAATTCTGCTTCCATTTCCAGTTTGTGTAATATGTAAGTTGTTTATTATCTAATTATATTCAGTTTTTATAAGACATTGGGAATATGTTTTAAACAGTTATGTTGAGAAAGCTAGTTATTGTAAGATATATTACGCACGAGTTATTATCAATTCTTCTTAATTAAGCCTAGTTTTTTTAAAGACGCAGCCTAGATTCTTATGTCCACTTCTCATGCCAGCGCTTTTGTGTGTGCCGGTATTTATGATGTCTGCTGGTATTTAGTCTCTCTTCCTTTGCGATTTTTACCAGTTTTGGTCCGTCTTACTATATCCGACACGTCACATATTGTTCTAATCTCATTGCTTGTTGTTCTGTCTCCGAGCTTTTTTAAAAGCTATTTAGTTGCTGCAGTCTGCACCGTTGTTTCTGTGGCGTAGGGTGAATTTTATACATGTTTTGCTTTGGACACTTCGGTATCCTGATATCCTGGCTTCTATTGTTTGCTGTATAGTGTCGCGATGTTAACCCCTAGAAGACATAATCTGTTCTAACACTGTTATTATAATAAATCGCAAGTTAACATCATCTGGGTTCTCTAGACATCAAAGATTATCTATTATGTGTTGGTATGATCATATTGAATTTTCTTGCAACTGTTTCAAATTCGTAGTAGTTTGCATTAGTTTTTGCAGATTGACCTCGTCTTCCAATATCAGCAATGCGTCATCGCATTTTAACTAACCACATTTTCAATATTGTACCATCATAGACTAGACTTTTTTTTCAGATGTAAATATATTATATATATATATATATATATATATATATATATATATATATATATATATATATATATATGTATATATATATATATATATATATATATATATATATATATATATATATATATATATATATATATATATATATATATATATATATATATATATATATATATATATATGTAAGTTGTTTATTATCTAATTATATTCAGTTTTTATAAGACATTGGGAATATGTTTTAAACAGTTATGTTGAGAAAGCTAGTTATTGTAAGATATATTACGCACGAGTTATTATCAATTCTTCTTAATTAAGCCTAGTTTTTTTAAAGACGCAGCCTAGATTCTTATGTCCACTTCTCATGCCAGCGCTTTTGTGTGTGCCGGTATTTATGATGTCTGCTGGTATTTAGTCTCTCTTCCTTTGCGATTTTTACCAGTTTTGGTCCGTCTTACTATATCCGACACGTCACATATTGTTCTAATCTCATTGCTTGTTGTTCTGTCTCCGAGCTTTTTTAAAAGCTATTTAGTTGCTGCAGTCTGCACCGTTGTTTCTGTGGCGTAGGGTGAATTTTATACATGTTTTGCTTTGGACACTTCGGTATCCTGATATCCTGGCTTCTATTGTTTGCTGTATAGTGTCGCGATGTTAACCCCTAGAAGACATAATCTGTTCTAACACTGTTATTATAATAAATCGCAAGTTAACATCATCTGGGTTCTCTAGACATCAAAGATTATCTATTATGTGTTGGTATGATCATATTGAATTTTCTTGCAACTGTTTCAAATTCGTAGTAGTTTGCATTAGTTTTTGCAGATTGACCTCGTCTTCCAATATCAGCAATGCGTCATCGCATTTTAACTAACCACATTTTCAATATTGTACCATCATAGACTAGACTTTTTTTTCAGATGTAAATATATTATATATATATATATATATATATATATATATATATATATATATATATATATATATATATATATATATATATATACATATATATATATATATATATATATATATATATATATATATATATATATATATATATATATATATATATATATATATATATATATATATATATATATATATAAGTATATATATACATATATATATATATATATATATATATATATAAGTATATATATATACATATATATATATATATATATATATATATATATATATATATATATATATATATATATATATATATATATGTATATATGCAAATATTATTTCTAATGAACTGCCCGATATTTAGGCAATTTAGCTGGCATAACATACTTTTATTACATTTTGCACTTGGTTTTTGACCTGTTTAATTATAGTTTATTTTGACATAGTCAAGTACTGCAGTTTGATATTAAGTTTAGGAACTAATTCTTTACGGTCCATTCCGGAGACCGAGATAAGCGTGTGCAAGTCAGTTAACAAATGAGTTTTTTAAAACGTATATATAATTTATATACATAACATACAAATAAAAGGATTAACAGTTCTTCATTCATTTTAGTGCTGCCATTTAAACCTAAATTTGATTGCTCTTGAAACCTGACTGTCCATAGAGCAGTTTAAAGTTGTCTGTCAGTATAATTCCAAATTAATTGGCGTTTTCAAAATAAATCAAAATAACAGATTTAGTATTAAAAAAATATATAAATTGAAATGTATTTTTCAGAATTGCTGGCCCAACTCACCGAAGAAAATAAGGCGTCGACCCCGCGACGGAGCCGTAGGCCGTCTACGTCATCTGAACCGACGGAGGAACCTAACCAATCCGAGAAACCGCGTTCCCTTAGACCCCGCAGGGGTTCCGCTACCGAGAAGCCCGAAGAGGAAACCAAAACGCCGGTGACCGGCGTGGTAAGATCGCGCAGAAGTTCTGCTAACGATTCCGTGCAGATCGTCCCGACCACGCCCGCCAGGAGTACTAGACGAAGAAATTCCGAAACGTTTGAATCTGCCGAGGAAAGTGTGACGAAAAGAACGGCAACCAGTGGACCAAAAAACTCCGAGTCCAAAGAAGATGGTAAATCCGCTCGAGGGCGCCGAAGATCGTTCGATGCGAAGGGAGAACCAGAAAATGTCGTCACCAAAACGCTCGGAAGGCCCAGGCGACGCGTTTCCGTAAGTAAAGAACCAGAATCGGAAATAGTCGAGCCTTCAGTATCTGAATTCGATCTGAGCGTTATAAACGAGATTTCCGACGATGTCAACGGTGCCGAGGTGAAAATACACACTCGTGAAGTCGTAACGACATCTGGTGACAAACGTAACACGTCTCCTGGGGCCAAAAGACATCTGTCGCCGGGCGCGGGCGAATCTGAATTTAGAAAATCTCCCAGATTGATCGAGATTAGCATAAGTCACTCAACATCGCCCAGAAGGTCGCCAAGAGTTGCTGCGTCACCAAAAAATACAACGTCGCCGAACATGGTCACCGTAGACCGAGCGGTTACACCCGAAACGCTTTCGATTCATTCCATTGGTGACGCGGAGAGAGATGTAGACCATAACAAGGCGGAGGTAGGGGCAAAGTCAAATGGTGATGCTACAGCTCCGAATTTGAAATATTATGAAGAAAAAGAGAAGAAAATTCTACACCATAGCAAGTCAGAAATAGCGCCAGAGTTAAATGGTGATGCTACAGCTTCAGAAGGTTCTAAAGAAGACGGGAAAAAAATTCTACACCATAACAAGTCGGAAGTAGCGGCAGAGTCAAATGGTAATGATAGACCTCAGAATTTGAAACATTATGAAGACGGGGTGGAAATACTACACCATAGCCAGTCAAAGGTAGCGGCAAAGTTAAATGATGATGCTACAGCTCCAGAAGGTTATAAAGAAGACAGGGAAAAAATTTTAGACCTTAACAAGTCGGAGGTAACAGCAGAGTTAAATGATGATGCTATAGCTCCGAATTTGAAAGGTTATGCAGAACACGGGAAAATTATACATCATAGCAAGCCAGAGCTAGCAGCAGAGTTAAATGGTGATGCTACAGCTGCGGAAGGTTATAGAGAAGACAGGGAGACAAGTCTGGACTTCAACAGATCGGAGGTAGCAACAGAGTCAAATGGTGATGCTACACGTCCAAATTTGAAAGGTTATGATGAAGGTATGGAAAATTTTCTAGACCACAAGTCGGAGGTTCCAGAAGAGTCAAATGGTCACGCTACAGCTCCCAATTTTAAAGTTAATGAAAATGGAGAGAAACTTATAGGCTGTACTTTGGAGATCACGGCAGAGTTAAATAGTGATGCTACAGCTCCTAATTTGAAAGATTATGAAGACACGGAGAAAATTCTAGACCATATGCCAGAGATAGCAGCAGAGTCAAATGGTGATGCTGCATCTTCCAATTTGAAAGGTAATGAAGAAGATAGGGAGAAATTTCTAGACCACAAGTCGGAGATAACAGCAAAGTCAAATGGTGATGTTAAAGAAGGTGATGAAGAAGACTTGAAAGATTCAGGAAGAAGCAATAAAGAGAACATCCCTGTAGATGAGCCGATGGAGGTCGATGACGAATCGTACGTTTTAACCGGTGGCGACGGAAAGAATACCGAAATGGAAAATTTAATCCCATCCACGGATGATAAACTAGGGGTACCTTCGAACGTAATGAAGGCCAAACTATTAACTATCAGGCTAAGTTCGGTTACGGGTGTCGACGTCACTATAGAAGATGAAGAATCAGGCACTCCGGTTCAGCGAGCCCCGAGCCCCGGTTTTCACCAATTGCTAGCGGCGCCACGGAAATCAAAAAGCCCAGTACATAGTCTACCGACGAGTCCCCGTTTTTGTTTATTCGAAGAATTTAGAAAAAATGAAGATCAAAAAAAGGTTTGCAGCACTTTGATGCAAGAAGCTGGGAAAAAGGAAAGCGCGGCAGGACGCGAAGCAGTATCATCACGATCGGAATCTCTTAGCTTTCCAGCAGAAGTGACGCACTACGAATTCAAAATTTCTTCGGACGAGGAAGACTCCAAACCTACCGAAATTGAAAATCAACTAAACAAATTAACTGACCGAGCAACGTGTGGATTTGCTTTAGCCAGCGTCAAAGGTTCCGATAATATGAAAGCCACTCAGTTACCATCCAATGGAGGGAAGGCAGATAATGAGCGTGTTGCTATTGAAGATAATTTAGAAAAATCATTTGGACAACTTCAGAAAAACACATTTGTTAAGCTATCAAATACACCTTTTGAAAATCGAAAGACTTCAAACTCAATGGAGATGGTTCAAAAATTTGGGCTAACCGCAATTGAAAAATCAGAAGAACTCAAAAATTCGGAAGGGAACATTGAAGAAAGGGTTAAAAGTATGATAGGAAGCGCATTAGATCGGGAAAGCAGCGTAAGTACTGAAAGTCAAGCGGCGGAAACTCCTAAAGATGTTGAAACGATTCCTACTAGGCTAGTGGAGGAAGATTCAGATAATACCGAATTTGTAATTGAGGAAATAGATGATGAAGAACCAATGGAGAGACAGGACAAGGAAGAAATAAAGTCCGGTCATATTGCCATTGACGAGCCAGAGGAACCCAGCAATTCAGAAGAAGACAATGTAGAAAAAATAGAAACCGATAACAACGAGGAGTCGGAACGCTCCGGTAGTGATTTCCTAGACAACATGGCGGAGGAAGGAGAGGAGAGTACACCCTCAGAAGACAGCAATGAAATTATAGATGTTGGTGAATCTGTAGGAAGTTCGGTTTCTCAGTACAGCGAAGGCGATTATGAAAATGATTCCTTTATTTGTGATGACGACGACATTGAGTCACTTTCAGGTAAAGAATTCGATCTGCAAGAATGCGCAGAGGCCGTGAAAGAGGAAAAACAGAGCAAAGAAAAATTAAGGTCACGTATTATCATGGTAAGCAATTCGTCTGATGAAGACACACATGAAGAACAGGTTTTTAAGGTTGAGAATCAAAATGAAGAATTACCAAACTTAAAGAATGTGAGTACAAGTAAGCGAAGGTCGTTGAGTATTCAAGAGAGCTTAGTATTGGACGGTTCTAATGAGCAACTCACTGAAAGAATTAACACGCTAGTCGACACCTTCTGTACCTCAATCGGCAAGGGTGAAATTTCATTGAACTTATCATTGGAATACGAGACCATGACCGGAAATAGTGCAGGAGAAAAGAATGAAAAAACATCTAGGGAGGTTCACAAAACGCGAAAGGCAAGTCTTTCATTGGATGAGATCGACCAACTGGAAAGCCCTGTTAAGAAGAAGAGACGTCTAAGTCGGAGCCTCGAGATTCTTGGGGAAGGCGTCCCGAGACACAAGGTGAAAAAATCGAAGAAAACAAGACGCAAACATGAAAGTGAACGCGAAGATCTTAGAGCAGGTTTTAACATTATAAATCATTTAGTGAGCGATGTTAAAAAGCGCCCAAGACGCACTATCAGACCAACCGTTGCGAATACCGATGCCAATTCTTCTTGGGTAGCGACTAAAGCGACCAACGTGAAACCTTCCACTTCTTTGGTGTCTAAGAAAACGAAATTGGAAATGACATCGTTAAAGTTCCATCCTAAAGATTTTAAGAACAAAATTTTGGCCGATGACAACAGAGTAAAGAGAGTGGAAACGAAAACCCTATTGAAGAGTAGGGGCATTTTTTACTGAGTTATTTCGTCTGTTCTATTTATTTGTTCTCTTAGTTATCACTATTATCCCGCATTTTCTTTATTTTTTATTTTTGAAAATGGCTAATAAAATTAATTTTTATATTTAATCTTGTTTTTTTAATAATGCTGTTTCCCAACAAACGTTTCGGCTTAATCACATCACGTAAAAGAAAACTGATACTTGAATTTGGTGTGTATGGTGGCCAATTATTTTGAATCGTTAAGATGGACAAAAAATATTTTGGAAATAAGTGATACCGAAGTTGTGGTGTTTAGTTTTTCAGAAAGCAAGTAAAAAAAAAAAAAACGCATCCATGGAAAGAATTTTTTTTAATGTTTCATTGTTACTAATTTATTGTAAGTTGCAAGCATTAAAAAAAACATTTTTTTAAAGATATAATCCTTCAGGTGTGCCTTCCTTCTTGCGGTACAGGACGCTTTCCTTTGACTTTTTAAAATCCTCATTCATTACTTTCATTCTTCTCTCCCGTAGCGCCATCAAACCTGCTTCCGTACATATCGCCTAGGGACCGAAAAAATAAGTAAACGTAAATATTTAGTAAAACCAATTTCATTGCCTTAAAAACTACAAAATTCAAATAAAACATGAAGTGAAGTGAGCAACGTGATTAATTTTGCTATTGATTATCGTCCATAAATATAAAAAAAGCTCAACAAATCTGACTTAACTTTGCCATACCTCAATTCCCATGAAATATGTAAACAGAAAACGGACAACAAACTAAAGAATGGAAATTAACATTAAATGGATAATTAATTAAGATAATACAGGCATTTTTGAAGCAAGACATGTAATTTGAAATCTCGTTTTCAACCAATAAGGCTGTGGGGTTCAACAACCAAGATGCCTGCTGACAGTTCAACTCCACAGTTTTGAGCTTAATCATATTATATCGTTGCGCAGTATTTTGTCAAAAAATGCGCAAGCTACATTAAATTTACAGAAAAAAAAGAGTTGTATTTGCAGATCGTTGTTTAGACAGAAAATTGTAGGCGCGGGAATCTTGTCAATTGAAAGTTATGTCCCTTTTAGTCCTTTTTAGTTTTCGCGACCACAGTCCTTAAACAGGTTTGCTTATTGTCAAGTATATCTGCTAACCAAAGTGACCCAAAATTTAAGGTAATTTGTGAATTTTCGAGGCACAAAACAAGATTCACTTCACTAGAATTGTCGTATGTGACGCGCCGCATGTCCTGAGAAAAGGAAATGTGCCTATCCTTATAATTGAGTAATCCTGCATTTGCCTGATTGTTACGAACACCGACAATTATAACCATTGTTGTTGATTATCTCAAAAATGTAATTTTGGTACATATCCCCTTTGCCAATTCCTCGCTTCAATTTATCATTAACATTCAAATTAAAGAAACAACTATTCATGGTGGCATTTAGTCAATTAATTTTACTAACGGGTGCTCACTTGCCAAGTTCTTGATAGTAAATAATTCTATTTTGCACTTGTTTTACAGAAAATACCAAACTAGAAATTCATTTTTGTGGTTATAATATTAAAAAGTTGACTGACTTTTTAATGTTAAAGTTAGTGATTTGGTCCAATTGCATGTCCATCTTGACTCACTAAAGAAACTTTTTACTCTAAATTTTAAATTAGTGTTGTGTTAGTGTTAATGGGATACTTGCGTTAATCCACCTGGATATTTTTACCTATTTAAACAATTAATTTTATTGTATTTACAAATAACTCGTTTTTTTTATTTTATAATTATGAATTAGAGAAAACATGGTTGCTTTAAGTGCCTTTATTTCTACAATTTCTAATGCAATGCAGGATTATTTCTCTCTGTTTTGATTCAATAGCTACTCACGCAATACTGATATGAAGGCATTTTCCTGAAGCAAATAGAATCTTACCATTACAGAGAAGCGTAATCAAAATGTTAGAAGGGAGCTGACGTAAAAGAATCTAATTAACTAGGAGTTCTAACAATACTTTGCAGGTACCTATTGGATTGCTTGGTTTATATTATGCAATGGGTAATGTTGCAAAACATAATGCCTTTCACTTTTATAACACCTGTAATAATGAAGATATATGAACCCTCAATTTCTCAGATTGAAATCTACATATAGCATAAACTATTTTGCTCCAAAATTCTTCAATAATAAAATTAATTGAACTGAAATGATTGATAAAGACATGGTGTTGTCGAAACAATTGTCATGTCATAATATATCATTTCGTGAAAATCTGAACTTTTAGTTCTTATTTATTTTAAATAAAATTAAACAAATAGGATTAAAGACCTTCAAATCGGCAATAAAAATGTTCTTACTTTTTTTAATTATTTAACACTTTGACTTGTGATAAAAATATTTTGCATTGGCTAATTTAGAACTATATTTTTGAAAAGTATGTAATATTGTTTCAACTGCTCTCACTGAAATAGCTGGAGTAACTAAGTACTAAGTAGGTTATGATGGGGTGCCATGTTCTGTGCTGGCAAATATTAAGGATTTGCTAGACCGGACTTAAATGTGAAGTGAGAGCTCTGCCTTATATTTGAAGAGGCAGATGCAGAAAGGACTTGTAAGAGAGGGACGCCATGAATTCCACTCAGAGTGGCGTGTAGTTCAATGTAGTGTACCACAGGGCAGCGTCCTTTTCCTAATATTTATTGATGATATCAAAAACAGACCGTTTAATATATGTATGCATTGCAGAAATTTTTTCAGAATAACTGGGAAAATGTGTGAATGATTACTGATGGAGTGTACAAGTGATGGGAGTGAACAGAATTTTATATTTTGTTTATATATTGTTGTGAATTTGATTAAATTAAATACCTTAATATCAGCGCCGGAGAGATCATCTTTTGCCATGATCAATTCTTGAAGATTAACGTCTTCAGCCAAGGTCATTCTCGACGTGTGAATGTTGAAAATCCTCTTCTTCGTTTTCTCATCGGGCAAAGGGAATTCAATCTTCCTATCGATTCGCCCGGGACGAATCAAAGCTGGATCCAACGTTTCTATACGATTCGTGGCCATTATAACCTAAAATTTCACGATTTCAAGTGCTTGAACAAAGGAAAACGTATTTTTAAATTCACCTTAACGTCACCTCTAGAATCGAAACCGTCCAATTGATTTAACAGCTCCAACATGGTCCTCTGAATTTCCCTCTCCCCGCCCGAATTGGAGTCGTAACGTTTTGTTCCCACAGCGTCAATCTCATCTATGAAAACTATCGAAGGGGCGTGCTCCTCGGCAACTCTAAAAAGTTCACGCACGAGTTTCGGGCCATCTCCGAGATATTTCTGTATCAGTTCGGAACCAACCACCCTCAGAAATGTGGCAGATGTTTGATTGGCCACCGCTTTGGCCAGCAAGGTTTTTCCTGTACCAGGAGGACCGTATAAAATAACCCCTTTCGGGGGTTTTATTCCCATTTCTTCATAATATTCAGGATGGGTAAGCGGTAGCTCCACAGACTCCTTAATTTCCTGAATTTGAGAATCCAGACCTCCTATATCGGCATATGTTTCTTGTGGAGCTTTTTCTAATTTCATAACTGTCACCATGGGATCTGTATCGTCCCCCAAGACACCCACTACGGCATGAACCTTGTGATTCAAGAGAACGGAACAGCCCGGCTCTAACTGATCCTTATCCACAAAGGAAAGAATGCTTACATAGTGCTCACTACCCACAGAGGTAGACACTATTGCGTGATTATCATCTATAATTTCTTCCAAATTACCAACTGACATTGGGGTTCCTTAAAAAAAAATTAATCACATTTCCTTTGTATTCAATTTTTCAATTCATCATTCAAAGTATAAGATCCCCTCAATTATAGCAATTACAACATATTTGCCACAAAGTGTTGAAAGTTGCAATTCTTGTTGGCTGGAGCTGAGAGAGTTGCGGTCTGATTGGAGAGCTGTGATGACGGGTGTTCTAAATGGTTGTACCCTTAGAACAGTCCTTTTTTAACAGTGTCTACATGTGATCTTGGGGAAAGAATGCTGCGAAGTTTTGAACTTTACAAGAACAAAGAATGAAAGTGAAAAATACAGTAATGCAATTCAAACAAGAAAAATGGAAGGAAATTGAATATAAATTACAGTCAGATAGCAAACCCAATCAAAAGCTCTTCTACATAGTGCTCAAAGGTCTTTGAGGCAATAGAAGGGTAGAGAGTGCATCAATAAAAATGAAGCAGGTGAAATACTAGAAACCAAAACAGATATAATAGAGGGCTGGAGAGAATTTTTTGAAATACAGAAAATAAAACAAACCATAAAATGGCAGAAAAGAAAGAAAGTAAACAAGCAAAACAAACTGTAGAGCAGAGACAGAACAAAATGAACAGCTCATAATGAAAGAATTGGTTACTGCAATTTACAACAGCTAAAAAAGGAGGAAAGGAGGTAAAAGCGACCTGATTATTGTTAAAAGTTTTCAATATGGTATGAGTAGAAGAAAAGATCCGGAAGATTGAAAAATCTGCTTGATACTACCACTCCTAAAAAAGGGAGATAACAGGAAGTGCAACAATTATAAAGCAACATCCCTACTGTGTACGTCATTGAATTGTTTGAATAAATACTTAAAAAGAGACTACAATCAAAAATTGAACCAACTCTGACAGAAACGAAAAGTGGATTCCGGAAAGGAAGAAGCACGCAAGATTATGTTTTCACTTATAAAGAAATTATGTTCTAGAAGAATAACAAGATCCAAGCCGGTTTACGGCATTCCTAGGTATGGGAAAAGCATGAGATAAGGCTCCGCGAATAAAAATCTGGAAAAGCCTACAGGCAAGAAAAGTCGGCAATAAATTAATAAGAGCACCAAATGTTTACACAATGAATCAAGAAATTTTGTATTAAGTAAGAACCTGATAAAAAGGCAGTTACAACACAAGACGATGTGAGACAAGGGAGTAGCTTACTTACTACTTAAAGCTTTTATGGACGATCTAATCAAAACCCCTTTATGTTGGATCCACTAGAATATATCAGCGACTCAGAATGTGCCTTTGCAGATGATATAAAGATCATAGCAAGAAGCCGAAGGGATCTCGAAAAAAATCTAAATAATTGGGACCAAATACTAACAAACAACGGAATGAAAATGAACATAAATAAAACCCAAGTTATGGTTGTATCAAACGAAAAGGAAAAATTAGAAATCAGAGTACATGGAACAAAATTACAAATGTGTATATAGGAGAACAGTTACAGGTGGAATCCATAGAATTCATTAAGAAGAAACAAATTGTATTGTGGGGTTGTTTACAGAAATTAGGTAGCACTGTACTGTTAAAAAAAAATTGGCTAAGTAAAAGGAAGGGAAAAAGGAAGACCTAGAGAAACATGGGACAGCACCTGGAAAAGGGAAAGAAAAATGGTAGAAGTTAAAAATTTAGCCATAAATAGGAAGGATAGGAGGATTTGAAAGTTTTTATAGAAAATAAGATTGTATGTAAAAATGTCTACCCTATAGGTAGAAAGGGGCATCTCCCAACATCACAGCAGATCCATCCCACAGCATTAATTCCAAAAATTCTTTTTGAATAAATCCTGTCAAAACGCAGGCTATTTTATTGTTTGCTAGTCCTTATTTACTTAATTTTATAACATCAATTTTGCATGGCGTGATGAAGTCAAAATTTGGGATTGTACTTGCACAGAAGTCTTTGTTTTCATTCACATGTGAATAGGATATATCAAAAATCATATTACAAATTTGGTACTGTCTACACCTGTTTATCAGAGGTAAATCATGCGTGAAATCTGGTCTAGCAGCTCCATGAAATCCGTGAAATTTTGTTAAAATCATAATGCATTTTGTTGGGAGTTTTGAGCACTTATTGAGCAATTATTAAGTAAATATTTTTAAGTTATTTGTAGATTGGATTCTAAAAGGTGTTGGTTGAATCATACCAATTTTGACAAATACTATTGTTCAATTAAACGAGTTTATTCTTTACTCAATCCAAAGATTCAAAATTATTTATGGGTTTTCATTGAAATTGTTTCATCATAATTAACAAAATTCTTTACTAAATGTCTAAAATATATAAACAAAATTACAAAATTAAAAATATTAAGATAAATAAAACTGTCACAGGGATGGACCCATCAATTACAGTATAAGCTCAAATTTTCATATTTAAGTTAGTTACAGTTGCTATATCAGATCGACGTTCCTGGTGAGACACTCTGTATGTAATGGGATAACTTTTGAGTGAAGTATATAGGCAACATACACAAAGAACTCATAAAAGTTTTCTCTTGTTGTAATTATCATTTACTATAAAGATTATTTTATTTAGATGGTTTCTACCATACCTAACTACTAACTATTCGCCTGCCTCACTTGGAAACTTACCCCTCAAATCATCCACTTTCGATCTTTCTTCCTCATTTTTCTCCTCTTGGGGCTTAAGCCGTTCTTGATTTCTGATAAATTCTTCTTCCATAAGAAGATAATCCTTAATCCTCTCCATTTTCAATAATTTTAATCGGCATCTGGTATGAGGTGTAACAGCAGGTAGCTTCAAAGCGGTATCCGGTCCCTTAGTGCGGCGCTTTTTCTTACCCACACGGGTAGGAATTGGGGGCTCATATTTTTTCTTTTTATCTTTCTCTTCCTTTTTATCGCCACCAGTGCCACCAGGATGACTTTGTCCCTAATATCATTTCGGTGAGACAAATCGTATCCGCGTTTGACGTGTTACTTACCATTTTAATTAAATGACGATTTCTAAATCAACAAAGGGAAAACCCTGGTTTGTCAAATAAGACAAGTCATTCCGTTAATTTCAGGTTATGTGCACCAGACAAAACTTTGAATCGTCTTCTTTAACCTTTTTGGCCCTCGCCACCATGATATACTATACTTTGGAGCGTGTTTTGGAAGTAGTATTCCAGATATTTAATAAAAATGTTTTACTTATCTTATTCATCTATAGCACTATGGGAATCAATTTATAGGGAAAGTATTGCAGTTTACGGACTGAATTATGGATATATTGAATTGTACTGAGGCGAGTGTCTATGAATAACTTGCCTATGAATGAAAAAATGAGTCACCATAAGCTATTACACTTATAAAAATGCTTACTAAAATAATCTCCAAGTGACGATTCCAGTACTTCATTTTTTCTAATATTTTGTGTTCCTTGATTTCATTAAGAGTAAAAATGTCTTCAGGGTCAGGAGTAAATTTGTTTGTTCCGGTTTTACATTGGGATTTGGAATTTTTATTTTTGCCTAGTTCAAAAGTAGGGTTGAGATTTCAATAAACAGAAAACAGCAAATACACATTTGAATTATTTACGAGATGCCCATAGGAATGAACCTGATGAGGTACTCAATCGCAAGCGTCCATAACCAAAGACGTCAAGTTTTTGTGTTCCTAATGGTTAAGAAAAACTTTATACCCTTATCACGCGATTTCAAAATCTATTCTAGTTCTAGCCTTCTGTAGTTAGTGTGTCTAGTGATGTGAGTGCGCCGGATCGATCACAAGATGGCAGATAAGAAGAGTTAAGAATTACCCCTCCATTGATTCAATTCACCACATCACGCAAAGTTTGTTTCCTAATGATTTAGCGATGGTATTTGAAATTTTAGTCTCGTAAAACGTGCTTTCTTCATAAAGTAGATTATTTTGGTCATGCCATACTGAATTTACTTGCTGGGGCCAGCATATTCATAGAATGTACCGCCATGTTCTTCGAGCATTCCGCCATTTATTGATGAAATAGTGAACTAGTTATTATTTGGTGATGTAGAATTTTAAAATGGAGATGCAATGGATATACCTAACCTACGATTCTTTTTCGAATTAGCTAGTTTTAACCAGTTTTATCCACATCAATTTCAGACATTGTCAATCTGTTTAATTAGCAACCACCTCCCCCTTACGGTGCGTATAAATTTGGCAAGACGCACGCGAGTCGCACTTGTTGATCAACGAGCCTACCGCGAGTACCTGGCGAATTTGTGTACTCCGCATGGCAAGTGCAATGCGCGACGAGCTTCGCACGAACATTTTAGTTGGGGCTAATATGTCGAACGAAGAAAGAATAGCCATAATTTTATCCACAGGTCCTTTAATACTATCAAGTTTATTAAATAAAAAACAAAAACCCCGGCGATGCTGGCGTACTGCTTTATATAAAAAAGTGCCAGGATCGGAACTTCTATCTATTAAGATTTACCTTTTCCTGATCCCATAGACGACTTAATCTTATTTTTTTTCCTTTCTGTAGGTGGCCAATAAGAGGGAGATTTTCTTCTTGCAGGCTTATGCAGATTTCCCGATGACAGAAAATTTCATTCAATGTGTCAATCTTCTTTTTTAAAGTAATCTTTATCCTTGGGATCCCTCACATGTTAGAATAATTTGTAGGTCTCCACTAAATTTAACGTGCTTTCATCCGACCACTCAATTCAATTGTTGTCCGCCTTCCTGCAAACGAAGCTACGATGAACCCGTCCTACTAGACGTGCAAAATCCTTTTGAATCACGCCAAAAACAGACAGAAAAGCGATCGTCGCGAACCTACGTCGCGCAGCATAAAGTAAGCTCGCGAGCCCCGTATAAATTTGACGAACTAGGCTCGTCGTCCGCGCGTCTCGCCATATTTATATAGCATATTCACCAGCAATATTGATAGTTGCGTCTTATTTGAGCCTATGTAGCTACTAGACATCTAATGGCCTTGCCTATGCTGACAGTACAGGAACTGATGAAGCCATAATATAGAAAAATTTTGAGAAGGTCCATTCAAAGTGCGCATGCGCGAGATTTGAAATTTCGTTTTTAACAAACCATGTTTTAGCAAACTATCTTTTTAACATGGTCGCTGACAGATCGACAATGCTTCGATGCGGCAAAAAATAGAGTTAAGGTGTGGAAAAGAAGTTGTTTAAAAAAATAGCGACAAGTGCAGTGTTTATAGTATGCGGAATTAGATACAGCATCCGCATCGGCGTCAGTGTAATTCTGTGTGTAATTTGACGTTTTTGTTCTTTAAACCCTGCACTTTCTACTTGAATTTGTTCATGTAAGATATTTTTTCCGAATTCATGCATGCAAATCGGCGCAACGCGTTAGTTAGTTAGGAAAAATCTTGAAATGGAAAAATTATTCTCCGCAAGTCTGAAAAGTGGATAATTTGTTTAAAAAATTATAGGTATTGGAAAACTGAACCAAGAAAATTAAAAACCATTATAAAACAAGTCAACAAACAATTTGTTAAAAAAAACATTTTTGCAAAAAGTTTAGCCATTTAACACTAACGCTAAAAAGTATTATTATTATTTATTAACATTTGAAAACAAAATTCCATCAAATTAAACAAACACATTTTGCTCGAAAAAATTGCATCGTGTCTACCATCAAAAAATTTCCAGTTAAAAATTCATATATTTTAATAGCAATTGTATACTAAAAATACATGTGGAAATTGCATTGTATCCAATGGGCTGTAGATGCTAGTATCAATTCACACAATAATTTAACTTTACTTTATTGTAATCTCGATTTAAATTTAGACGACTAAACTGTCTCGAAATGTTTTAACGGTGTAAACGCACATGGAACATTCTAAAAGATGCACACTCAAATAATGTTTGTATGTTACCTGTCCAAGAGAACTTACCAATGAAGCACGCCAAATTTTGAATAATTGCCTAAAATTCCTGTACTGGCTTTAGACTCCCCAAAAATGTCCTGCAAATATATCCGTTAAATTCTTCCTATTGCAGCATAACTGATTCCGGTAATTCCTATATTGACTTTTACAAGGATTTGTAGTTTTCAAAGGGCATTTCTTGTGCTTGTTCTAGTAAAAATTCAACTTTCCTGTAATTCTTGCAACTATTTAGATGTCTCTATAAATGTAGGGAATTTTGCTTAGTAAATTCACTTGTAGGGCCAAGAGGGGTAATTCTAAACTCACTTAAAAACTGGTTTAAATTTACCGCTATTTTTGAATATCCCGCGTTTTCTTTAAGGTTGTCTGTCATCTATTGGCGCGATAACGAATTTTGTTTGTTGAGAGTGCTGCAAAAGTTTTGTTTTTCCTTTTGGCAGTTGTAGTAAAATGTGTTGAAATTTCTTTTTCATCTTAAAGTAAGTATTGCTATAAGAGTTTAATATGTTTAAAATAATGTTATTTTATTGATTTGTAAATGATTCAAGGTTAAAGGAATCCAAGTTTTTTTTCTTGTTGGTGTTTACATTTGTCCCGTTCAAATCTAGTGGTGGGGAAATGTAAAAATTGTTTTGAGGTAAAAGTAAACATCAGTTTACTTTTACCTCAAACATCAGTTTACTTTTACTCCAAAGAGCTATGAGTTGTAATTAGATTCTTTATAGTATATTATGCATCAAGTGCGGTAAACGGCATTTGACTCACGAGTTTATTTGACACGAGTGGAATCAGTTTTTAATAAACGAGTGAGTTAAAAAGTTTACCGAACGTGTTGCATACTATACTACTATGATCGTTAGTTTTTGGGTACATTTTCGCAAAACAACACAAATACATTCACCAACATGACCGTCAGAATTGACAAACGTCAAAATTCAAGGCGTGGGAAATATCTCCGAAAACATCCAATCTCTCTCAAATCCGTGCGGTAAAACGACACTGACGTGGTAAAGTGACGCTTCCCGCAAGCTAGATCGGTGGGTAATTAGGTATTTTACAGACGGGAGTAGAAAAAAGAGTTTAACACATGACTTTTTTGTTTTTCGTTGAATGTTTGTTAGCTCGAGCAAATGCGGGTTATCCATGCGATAAGGATGAGTTACTTAATCTTATCCAAGAATGTGTTAGGGCCCAAAATATATCAACTCCTTTCACTAATGACAGTCCGGGAAATGATTGATACTATGCTTTTATAAAGCGCCATCAAGATGTCTTATGCATGAAAGATGCAATTTTAGGAGTGTTGCCTTATCCATAAATTAAGATGCGAGGAGAAAGAATGTATTACTATTTGCTTTATTATCTTATTTCTGTTAACTCAATGGTTTTTTTTAACATGGTAAACTTTTAAAAACTTTACTTAGAAATATATTTGTTTTTTTTTATACCTACAACTTTGTTAGCTTTAATTTTATTTTATGTAAAAAAGTCCCACATTTGCTTAGAAAGTTGGTCTACCAAGCTTACTAAAGTGTTTTTAGTTTGTATGTATATTTTGAGCGTTTCTAATAAAACTTTCATATATACTTCATCGGGGCAAATGTGAAAAAAAATATTGTGGTTCAAATTACTAATACTACGTAAGGTTTACAATTGCCGTATGTTTTATCTCCATAATTCCTCTAGTTTTTGATATAGATGTTTACAATTACCCCGAAATTGTTGGGTTAAATGTAAACAATGAATTTTTTTCAAAATATTTTTTTATTAAAACATTGAATTACATATTTTTCGACCAAAGTATCTATAAATAGAGAGTCCAGTTACCTTTTTTTTTCTTTTAAAAATAATTGTTTTTATATAATTTGAATATATTTGAAAATAAAAAAAAAGGAATTGTTCAAAATCTTTTACAATTACTCCACTTGACCCTAAACATTTATGTGTAAGTCCATTTTCCCATTTGTTAAATGAAAAATATACATGTTTCACTGTTTCTCTAAAATCCTAGTCGTCCTCATATTTGCAACCACAAACACAACAAGTTTTCCAGCGGGTAAGCGTTTTTATCACAAAAATACGAAAAGGCAAGAAGATAATCACATTAAAAATTAAAACAATGGTACAGTGCACAGATTGTTCTGCGACAATAGCAATTATTTAGCTTGGCGTTGCCAATTATGTTCGGATTTCAGAGACTGATGCTGCGTTCTTATATACATTAATCAATTTTTCAGAAAAATTAGGGCAATGTCGCAACTCTGTTGAGCGACAGATCCACATCTTCTGCGGGGCATACATTTTTGCAAAATCACGTTTTTGGACACTGCATCTGGATCTTTGTGTCTCAAACATCAGTCAACATGAAGTACAATTATTGCCGAAGTGAGCAAGTATTTGTGCTGCGGTTGTAAGTTTACATTAATTTTGTTCAGCTATTTCCGATATTTAAACCAGAACAATTTTACGTATCCGCCCTGCTATCGTTTCAAGATCCTACCGACATGGTAACTAAATCACCACCATAACGATATAGAAATAGAACCGTAGGTTGTATTCACCTATCCGAAATAAAAAACATACAACAAAAAATAATCGCTTTTATTCGATACAAGACATTTTAGTCAACCATATTCGGGAGTAAAAAAGAACTACGCCTCGTTTATCACAAATGTTTGCGTAACATTGACTTAAACGATCTGAAACAAAAAAATCTATTATCCTTAACGGTTAATTTAAGACGCCTCTATAATACGAAACGATCTAGAGTACCTGGAGATGTCTCATCGCAGTTCCCACATACTTTTCACTCTCACTCCCATCGTCGCTGGCCTCTGTGGTAGCGGAAGTTCGTAAGGAACGGCACTCGGCTGAATAACCGTCGACCGAGGTACCAGTGGTTGAGACTGAGGCTGCAGCGATGCGCGTAACATGCTGCTCGGAGAATTAGGCAAAACGTCACTGGGTTGAGGAAGATACGTTGACTGTACACGCATAGTTAATGGAAAACCGCTATTTTGAGGAACGGAGTACTGCGTAGGTGCATAAACGCTTGTCACTGCCGCCGAGGATGCGATAGTACCATGAGAACGCGATCCTGGACTTGGCAACGTGGAAGAAACGGAATTGTTAAGGAAAAACGAATCACAGGGAGTCGAATTGGAACTAAGACTCCTGACGTCGTGCAACACATGAGTGTAAGGTGGTGGTGGTGGTGTAGCAATATTCGCAACGGGAGGTTGAACGATTCCGTTCATGTGATTATTTACATTTATCCCATTAACCGACTCGGCGCCATCTTCCTCTTGCGTCAGCAGCAAATTCGTCCACACTTGTAGGTTCCTAGGAGGCTTGTGCTGCCTCTTATAGCGGTACGCCACGTTGAACGGCCCGTTCTTCATCGTGATCGGCACTTTAAACACCCGCAAGTGTTCTTTCAAACTTTTCAATTCTCCGAAACATTCATTCGCCTTTATCGCGATGTCCTTCGAACTGGGCAAATCGGTTTCAGCCACTTTGTCTGCGAACTGCTTCTCCGGCGCTACTGCGGACAAAAGCTCCTTAATAAACTGGACGTCCGACAGTCCGTGATCCATTTTGTTAAGTACGGAATTATTTTTAATCCTCACGTCCGGTTTTACAACCGACACCGTACTATAAGTAAGGTTGTTGTCGTATACGGGGGCCACATTTCGAGACTCCTCCGTCGCGATACCGGACAATGGGTCCCTATTGATCTGCTCCATTGCAGGTTGAGATTCGTCGTCATCCGATAACACAATCACATCTCCCTCTTCACTAGCGCTGATCATATTGGATTCGGGCAAAATAACTTCCTCGACGGGTCTTATGTCTAGCCCGGGAATGAGTTTGAAACCAACGAATGAGTTTTGATATTTCTGACGCACTTCCAACACAAGATCCACCTTTTCCAGCTTCACAACGGGACCCGAATTCATCATCTTCTTCATCTCGCAATCGTGTTTGATGTGCGCTTCTTTAGCCTCTATGCTTTTAAACTTGGACTTGCAAAACTGGCACACCATGTGCTTCATGCTGTGCCACTTCAACTCCGAGGCACTGTACTGCACCGAGCTGCACAAGTTGCACACGAACAAAGCTCGAGACTTGAGGGATAGAGTTTCGGGAGTTTCATCGCTCATCGAGGGTGCCACTTCCGCGTTTTTATCTTCGTCACTTTTATTTTCCGATACGCTATTACTTTCTGGCACAGTACTCATCTCACTTTGAAGGGAATCGTCGCTCGAAGACGACCGTATACGTTTCCTGCGTATCTTAACTTTTCTCGTTCGCAAGGGACCGATGAGTATCGAGCTGCTATCACTGGCATCTACCGAAGAAGACCGTCGCTGTTCCATAATCTTCGTAAACCTGGGCTTCTTGGCATGGCTTCGATCACGACTTTCGGGATTCTTTTTGCCGGCCTTTCCTAGACTATCCCACGCCCTGGTGGGTTTAGCTGACTGCAATGTCGTGGTGCTCTTTTTCGCAAACGTCTTCCCCAATTTGGGAACGTAGATGTACTTTTTTATGTCGAGCTTTCGCTTTTTAAAGTACCGTTCCACTTCACCCATGTTTAGAGACACGGTCGGTGACATGTTCCTGCCGAAACATTTTTTCGGCAATTTCAATTGTGGATACTTCCGAAACACGTCGGTAATACTGGGATGTATAACGTCCGTCGCGGGCATGTTCGGTGGTTTCCTTTTGATTTCCGACTGCACGATTTCCGGCCTCGGTTCTGATTTAATTGCGGGCTTTGATGCGGCAACGTTGGAACTGTCTTTCCTGATGATGATGTTCGTATTCGGTAATTTCATTCCGCGAGTCAGCAACTGGTCGCACTTATCCTTGAAATGAAATTTTGTAGGTTAGCGCTTAATCAAGTGACGATTATATCGTATGATGAAATACCTTCAGCGCCTTGTCTTGCTTTAAAGCATCTTGCCGAAATTGGTACATCTTCAGCGTTATTTTGCAACATCGCGAGCAGACCTTCTGCGACACGATGTCGGTAGGTTCGATCTGAAACATAAAATTTGCAACTATTTTCGCCTTTTTAAAAGCCTTGGGATAAATGGACGATAATAGGAAATCCATTAATAAAGAAAAACCCTTTATTTTTCAATAAAAATGGCAATAATGTAACAACGGGTTAGAAATGATATTTCTAGTAAGATGCAATAATAAAAAAAAGTAACGCTTTGAGCATAAAAGTTCCGAGGACCGGACTGGATGGTCCATTCGCAGGTTTGACATTGTTCATACGCCTTTCATTCAGTAATTGTTTGCACAACACACATCAACTACTCTTTATTCCTTCGTCTTCTCCGGCAACCCTCACCATATCCGGCTTGTTCATACTCATAGTCGCTTAATCATGTTTTGGCCTTTTCGGAATCTTTCAGAAACATTACTTCAGATTCTTCAAATGTCAGTTGTCGCTTTCTCATATAATTTTTTAGTATAGGTTTCTTCTTTCATATGGATTTTTAACTCTTTTCATTCGAAGTGACGAAGTAGATTAAACCAGGATGACGGCTTGGTCTATTTCGAAGTTCAGATTAATGAGCAGGTGTCTTCGGCGCGACTGAGGCTAGGAACGAAGATAAATGCTCAATAAGCCAGGGTATCTTGCCGACCGGTTGCCGAGGGTTGCCGACTCTCCAGGGCACTTTAACACAAACTTTAGATGCTATGTTAAAGGAGACGATAATTTATGAAACACGATCAAAATAAACGAGTCGTTGATTACCTCTTCCCAGTTTGCTAATGATGAGCATATACTACGAATCCCAACGGTTTGATGCTAGTTGAAACATGGATATTCATTTTCTTTCCCTCTCGACAAGGTCTACTTCTTCTTACCATTTTACGATGAAATAAGGCAGGCATAAACGTTTCTTTCCCAGTTGTTCGTATACGGTTTCGTGAGTGTTTTTTAGGATGTTGTGGGATATTTTATTCACTTGTAACCCTTCCTCTCTCTTGTTAAAATTGTGTTTGTGTTTATGTATTTCGATGAACTCTCGATGTGGTCTTGAATAATAGTGCTTCTCCGTGGAAAATACTTCAAATCTGAATGGGAGATGTCCATCTTGTTCTATTTCCAATGCAAATGGGATTTTCGGATGTATACTGTTGAGATGCAGAAGAAAATTTTCTAATTCATCTCGACCGTGATTCCATATGACATCGTCATATGTCATCGACGTACCGTAGCCAATGACTAGGTCGTTTTTTGGCAGTTCTTAGTGCCTTTTCCTCAAATCCCTCCATGTAAAAATTGGCAATAACGGGGCTGACCGGACTTTCCATAGCGACTCCGTCTCTCTGTTCGAAAAACAAATTATTCGACTGGAAATATTTGGTCGTGAGGCTATGTAGGAATATTTTGGCTATATCGGGAGGGAATTTGTCATTGATTTTGTTAATCGTTTCCAATAGTGGGACATTCGTAAACAAGATCAAAACTGACTAGTATATCTGTGAATGTTAGCGCAATGTCCTTAACAATTTCGATGAAATGTCTTAAATCCCACACATAGGAGCTGGTTCCGCCGATAAAAGGCAGTAACAATTTCGATAGGTGTTGGGCTAATTCGTACGTCGGGGATCCAATCGCGCTAACTATCGGACGTAGCGGAGTATTTGTTTTATGCATCTTCGGTCCGTAAAGCCTCGGAGTAGCGCTTCCGTTTTGCACAAATTCATTTTAGTCTCTTGCTCAAAAGATGACTTTTTTTATGAATCGTTAGGATTTTAAATATTTCCGGGTCTAAGAGTGTTGATAATCGGCAACATTAAGAACCACTGTAGCATTATTTACCTTATCTGCAGGCAAGACAATGATGCTAGTATCCTTATTGAGTTCTCCTAACGCGCGGCACTCTTCTCTTGGCGGCAGTTTGCGTATACCCGCTTCAACGTTGGCAATTATGTCTTCGATTGGCAGGGTTTTCGGTGTAACGGCAAAATTTCGGCCGTTTGATACTACGGATATTTCTGCCGTCATTAAGGTACAGTCAGATTTGTTAATGACACCTCGATCAATATCCAAAATAGGCATAGTTAATTTGCCAGATAACATTGTTAATTTATCGAATTTCTTAAGCTGTGTTGCCCGTGTTTTCCATCCAGTACTCTCCATTGACTGGTGAGTGATCCGATCTATCTTCATCCAGTCGTCTACGTTTCTGCGGGCACTAATTGTTAAATGTAATTATTAATTACGATACCGGTCGTGAAAGCCTACGGAAGTACATAAACGGTTTAAAATGATAATATTAACTTATGTGTTTTATAGTTTAGTAGTGAGTTTGTTTAATAAACGAGTGCCCGAAGAAGTTTGTAAGGTTGCATGAGTACATGTTTGCGAAACAAAATCAATGATGAAGTGACAAACGTCACGATCAGTATTTATAATTTACCGAACTCTAACAACAGTATGAACAGGTTAACATGTAATTTCTGAAACAATTACAGAAAAAGCGTTTTGTTTACCCAATATCCGTACACCGAAACAAATATGACCGCATAGCAGAACTCCAGTCGTTACGTAAGTCATTTTCCTTCTCCTCCTATCCGTAAACGGGAATTCGTTAAACGAGTGTATCAAATCAGATGGGTGTTATATTTCAAAATATAGGCAACTAACAAGTAACCAAAACAAATTCCTGAGTTTCTCATTTCATAATACCAAATCAAATCTGCTCTCGCACAGTCGAGATACCTTCGTAATCGACATTTTAAAACGTTTTCACTCGAACAACAAGCAGAACGACACGCAAGAGTTATCAATGCAGCGTTGTCCGGCTGCTTTTCGTTGTAACAACAAGGCAACGCGCGGGACGAGCGGCGAAAAGGGAACCATGCAGCCAATCACTCTCGAGTACTGCCGGATACAGCCAAGTTCGACGAACGTTGCCTAAAGCGATACGAATGTTTTAGCTATTATTCCGAAGCCGCATCGTGTTCTTTTTATTCAGGGACATCGTTGTTAATCAATTTTCGATTAGTTCGCATGCGCTTTATCGCGTAAGAGTATATTTGCTTCGTTCGTGTCCGAGCCGGTTTAGAACTGTGCGGAGTTTGCGTTGTGTCTTGTTGGTGTGAACAGGATCGTTCTGATTCGGTGTTTTGTTTTCTTTCGACCGTTGAGTTATATAAACACTTTTTGTCCGGCGAAATAAACTTGATAGCATAAGAGAGGAAAATTGTTTTGGTTTTAGATGGTATGATTTAAAAAGGAGAATATAGTTAGTTGCGTTAAGTAATGCCAGCATAAACGATGTGCGTACTTCATTATCGGATAATTCCTGAACCGGTCCGAACTAGTTCTTAGTCTGGATCCGGGATTTCTTTCGCTATTATCTTTGGAACACGCTCAAATCGTTCGTTAAAAGTTGAATTTTGTATTTTTGCAGTGCGTAGTTTATGTATTATATTGTTTTGGTATTTCTATATCTGAAGCAAAGAGCCAAACGATATTTATATATATATTATAGTTATTCATCCATTTAACAATAGTAACTACGATGTTTTCTACTTCTAATAAAAATGTAAGTAAAATTATTTTATATTCTTTATGGGCCCTTAAACGGTCTTAATAATATAACGACTTAATAGGGTATTTTGTGACGTAGTCCTAGAAATACGATGTAAATTTTAATTTCGCGAAAATAAAAAACGTCTTTTTATTTTTTACCGACAATATCAACACACAATAGAACCTTACATTTGGACTTAATACCTTCGTAGTGTAATGAATATTTCAACCAGTTTATTTTTTAAGTGCCACTCAGAATTACGAATACTTAAAATTGGTCGGTTCTGACAAAACACTATTTTTATTGAAATCGAACTGGAAAGATTCACTAATAAACCTAAAATCGTAAAACGATGGACAAACTTATGCATCTATACACAAAAGTACTGCTTCGCGTTTCAAAGACTTTCCCGTTGAACTGTTTGCGAATTAAACATGAGTGACTCAAATTTAGTTAGGATTTATTATTTTTCTAGTTATACCATCATTTACTTGTTAGCGGCTGTTGCATACTACACAATCATTTGTCGTTATTTCATTAAATTTAGGCACTTACAAACTGTCTTTAACAATCATCAAAGATAAAAAAAATGAAAAACTACTAACAGCCTTTTCAGCAAGTTCTAGGGATCCATCGTTTTGGTAATGCGATTGAACTCATGTAAGCTGCCATCTGCGCGTATAGTTAGATAAGACTTGAGTTACAACTGTTGGAGATCGTCCGTATAATACGAATATAAAAATATAAAATTATGTTACTATAATTAATTAATAATAATACTAATAACAATTATTAATGTTAGATAAATAACAAATATATAAACAATAACAAACAACTAATACGTATTTAAAGGTATCACAAGAAAGAAAATCAGTCAGTGAATGTTATCGTCTTGAGCATAGTTTTTCGTTTTGACATTTTCGCATAAATTTCAGTATTTATATGACTTGTAGCTTGTCAAATTTACTTTTTCCCTAACGGAGGAAAATTGTGCCTAATGTCGCAGCGACGAACCCCGTATGCTGTATTCGTGCTGCAGAAATTCTGATCTGGATTACTTCCGACACGTCGCGACATCATCAACCACATATTTATGCACAGATAAGGCGACTCGTGGTCCAATAGTCACTGGTTTAAGTATTGAAACAGTCGACTAAAATTAAAAAGATAAGATAATTGAGGTACTAATTACTTACAACTTCATTTGTAAATTTTAGTAATCATATTCCCACTAGTCAAATAAACTATAGGCCTTGGAGTGCAGAGAAACAATAAAGGGCTCTACAGTGTTTTCTACCCTATGAAAGATGCACTTACTCCATTTCACCATCCATTGCCTTTACTCCCTCTTGCAAGAGAGTTTATACGTTTCTCCATATTTTAAATATGGTATTTTGCATTACTACAGAACCTTTCACTTGCGCCCATACCAATTTTATGAGGTTCAATTTACAGTGATAACGTGGAAGGCGAAAGACCCTTATATTTCGTTTTGATGCGTCGACAACAAATTTCGTTTAAAGAGGTATTCAAATTTACAATCTGTAGTAGCCGCATTTTCAGCAGATCTTTCTAAAAGTGCTTCTTATGTAAAGAAATTTGTTCGGATTTTCTTCAGTTGCCGTCCAAGGTAGTCCTTTTTTATGTATTATTTTCTGATTGTAGTATATTTATATTCATTTATTATGTCTTCTCCTCTTGCTGTACTTCTCTTTGATGGACGCGTTTATCTTCGTGCAGAAGTCGGTATATTGTTCACTGTCCAACTTCAGTCATATTGGAACACTTTTCCACATTGTTCTCCGAATGTTGAGTTTTAATATAATTAATTTAATAATATATAATTTTCTCATTTTTAGTAAACGCAGTTAACTTTGCCAGCAAATGCTGGAAAGTAACTGTAATTCTAATTTTAAACACTAAGGCAAGGATAAGCCAACTATATGTCCGTCTACCTGCCACTCTCGGGACCCGTTACAATCATTTTACAGTCCAAAAATAATTATAATCCAATTTGATCACGTCACATTAAAATGTCGATTGTTATGCGCGTCAATTCGGTTGGGGCATTAACGTCAGGTTGCAAGTGTCTCAAATGCCTAATGTGCAACAAAAGTGAACCAAAACTTCAAATATGAGTATATTGCCCATGTTGGCAAATCTAAACAGCAAAAACAAAATCGCTGTTCAAAACAATTAACTTCTTGCACGATAAATCACGTGAAACATTCTCCGAGTAAAAAAAAAGACTCAACGCTAATCCAGGAGCCAGCAACACTGAACACAATGTGGCAAACGAAATGTACATAACAACTACAAAAATCGGCCCCAAACGCACAACGCGACGCCTAAACAAACCGGTAAACCTCGATATCCCGAAACATAAAGAGCGGACCTCGTACAAACAATCATGGCCGCTTACCAGAACACCAGTCGTCACGTAGATCATTTTCTTCCTGTTTAGACCGAGCGACGGCGATTCTTCGAATATGTGTATCAAATCGGACTTGCTCTCGCATAGTCGACACACGTCCGTGACGGACATTTTGAGAGTTTCGTTTAACACTCGCCGACCATCACACAAACCGTTATCAACGTGCCTCTGCAACACGCCACCGCTTCTACCTTCCATGTCACGTCGACTCTGACTGAATTCTGTTTTAACGGTCGCGCGAAGCGACTGTCTGAGGGAAGGGGCAAACCAATCCGCTTTGGTTGACGAACGATCGAGGTCGACGAATATTACGTCGCATTTTATTACGTAGGAAGTTTATCGGTATCCTTGGCGTTTTGGTTTTATTACCTTATCGACAGCGTCACATGGCGAGTTCTGGGAATGTTACACCGTTGATTCGTGATATTTAAGATTGGCTCTCGGTACAAATGGGGTGGGAGATAGCGCTAAGTGCGCGCGCGCTGTTTTAGATTGATATTTAAATAGTCCCTGCGAGGTTTCAAAGCTTTAGATATTGCGGACACGGAGTAAAAGACTGGGTGGAATTTTGAAAACTACGAAATGATGGTGGGGATTCTCTAATTCGAAAATACAGACAGGTTCCTCTAGAAAACAAATTTTATGGACGATATTTATGTATGTTTTTTTTAAATTTGACTTTGGCGTCGTCGCCGTTTTGCCCTCTCTTAAAATGACATAAGACACCTATGGGTACTTTCTACATGAAAACTACCTGCTCTGAGACAAATTCTTGTATTTTCATGACGCATTTTAAATTAAATGTTATCCGAATTATGCTTGCGTTTTATATTTTTCACTAATTTTGAATTTTACGTCTTCCCTGACATTTCACTTTCACGTAGATATATCGAGATAATTTCTTGATTTTATTATGTACACCATTTTATAACAAATTGAACTGAGGTGGCTTTTACTTGATGAAAATCCATTTATCAAAATAAATAAGAACTAAAAGTTCAGATTTTCATGAAATTATATATTATGACATGACAATTGTTTCGACAACACCGTGTCTTTATCAAATGATAAAGACACGGTGTTGTCGAAACAATTGTCATGTCATAATATATAATTTCGTGAAAATCTGAACTTTTAGTTCTTATTTATTTTATCAAATGATAAACAATTGTCATGTCATAATATATAATTTCGTGAAAATCTGAACTTTTAGTTCTTATTTATTTTCCTTTTATAACAAACTCCGTGGTCCATAACGACACGCAAATTGTAGTGTGCCATCCAGGGGCGCCAACCACAAACGTCAAATATTACTACATCAAACACGTATGAACAAATAGGGCACAGAACATATTCCTACATAGATTGCAGTTCACATCTACCTAAATTTAAGATTCCGAAACATAAATACACAACTAAATGAGTTCTAAATTGCATTTTCAAAACATGTAACGTATTTTTTGCACAAAATATTAGGCAACTAAAAATACACTATTACTCAAAGCATAACGACCAGACCCCGTAATTTTAAAGCAAAATGGCAGCTTACCCGAACGCCAGTCGTTACGTAGATTATTTTGCTCCTATCGAATTTAGTACACGGGTCATCCTTAAATATATCTACTAAATCTGTGTTGTTCTCGCACAGTCTACATACTTCCATAATAGACATTTTTATTCTATTAGAATTTTGGGAGATTGACTCAGAGTGACCCCAATAGCAATGTACTTTCCAAATCGTCACTCATCGTCAAGCGGCGTCAACCATTTGAATAAGACGTCAGCGATCACGACGGCATGCGGGGCAACTGAAACCGAACACTTTGAGAAAACTTAGAAAACTGTTCGAGTTCTTTGCAATCTCAGCTACCTTGTGCTGGGTGGCGCTGTAGTCATTATGCTGCTGTCTTGTTACCAGTTCAGATATCGAAATTTTGGCAGACATGATAATTACCACAGAGCTATTAAAAATAAGCATAGTACAAAACACGAATCTGGTTTAGTCGCTGGTTTCGTTTCGTGACAGTAAGATTGTTTTCATTTTAGCTGTGAATTGAAATTCAATCATCTAATAGATGTTTTGCTTTAGTTCACATTTAATTTTATAACAGAACACCACAATGTCAGTTCCACGGTTTGTACATACCCTTTTTTCTTCTTTACAGGTCGTGCACAAATAAACACAAATTTACTTGCCTACAGATTGACATAAATCCAAAAAGGTAGAAATAAGATGGTTAGTATTTTATTTGGAAAATGGAATAAAGTTCAGAATGGATCCTAGTGAGTTTTGATTATGATTTAAAAATTTCATTTTCTAAAATATCTTTTGTTTAAAATTTATTTTAAGAAATATAGTGTACTTTGATGGGGATAGTTGATGTAAATGGAGCTCTAATTTCACCAACTTGTCTTTCTTTCACTTATGTTGTTTCTGTTGGTTAGTGCTCCCAACTAAACTAGCCCTGATACAGTGTGTTTTCATCTAATATTGGTATAAGCAATCACAATAATTATTCGAGGGACAATATGTATTTAAATACATTTCTACAAGTTCACTGTCCTTATGGTATTTTTCACAATAAAAACTGTCACCTATGTTAATACCCAACTTTGACATCAAGAGAAGCATGAGACAGAAGATTGCAACTCTGTCTTTTGTTATTGGATTTGTCGATATATTTTTTTGTATTCATGTTTCCTACCATTTGTTTATGTGTTTTGATGTTGTTTTTTGTTCTAATTTATTATTTATTATTTGAAGTTAAATGGCAGACGCATTCCGGAGTGTAGCTCTTGACGCTTGAGCTTGAACTATAATTGAGGCTAAAGTCTCATACACATTAAAGCAAATGAACCGAATGAGCATTCTGATGTAGACGGACGAACGCATGCACCGCGCTGAACACGCTCATGGGATGCGCTAGCCGATCAAAGAAGAAATTCTTGGTCAACCAGGATGAGTTTGAAGTAGCATATAAACACACCGAACGGCCCCTACGACATGGATTTTTCACAAGTTGAGTGTTTACCATTAATCAAAGAATTTAGAAAGCTAAACATGAGCTCTATTTCTATAAAATTAAAAAAGATGATGCTTGGAGGGAAATTGCTGAAAAACTGAACAGAGATTTAAAAAAAAAACAGATAGTCTAAAGATTCTTATCGGTGAGAAAAAGCAAAAGTTAAAAAGAATGTTAAAAGGGATCAGGTAAGTTCGAATTTATTTGAGACTTTCTATAAATTATAATCACTTAAATAATTATATTACCATATTTTCTGTGTAACAATATTTTAGCAAATATTGAAAACTGAATGGTACTTGTAAAAAGTTTAATACAGTTGTCAGTTTACCTATGTAATTTTAATACATAAAACAGGGGGTTTCTTTAATTTCAATGACATTGTATGAATACATCGCTAGCTATTCCTAAATTTTCCATGCGGTTCTGTGTGGAAAAACAAAAATTCGCTCGACTGAATGGTCATTCGGTTCGTTTGCTCAGATGTGTACGCGGCTTAAGGCTAATCCGGAATGTTATAGAAAATGTGTAGTTGTGCCAACCAACGCGAATTATTTGCAGCGGTAGCGAAAATTTCGCGACGAGGCCGAAAGAGAAATTTACCTAGAACCGCACTCTAGGGAATAAATCGTTCAATTTTTTTTTTTTTTTCAATTACAATGTACTCATCATCTGATGAAGAAGAGGCACTTTTGTTACTTGCCTTAGAAGCTGAAGAAAATGTCAAGTGTGTATATTTTTTCTACACAGTATTTATTTATTAGTAAAGGACTGGTGCTGATTTTTGTTTTTAGGAAAATAAAAGGGGGAATCATGGTATTAACTTGGAACGAAACAAGTATGGAGAGTTTCATACATTGATGCCAGAACTCCGAAAGGGTGAAAAACGCTTTTATACATATTTCAGAATGAGTGAGTGTTTTCATGAAATTTTGAACCTTATCACAAATGAAAGTCTGACACAAAATATCATGAAACTATTTCACCTGAAGAACGACTTGCCTTTGCATTGAGGTAGAAAAAAAACAAATTAATCAATTAGGTTATGTATTTTTAAAAGAGACAAATAGGAAATATTATTAATACATGATCACTGAATGGATTAGGTTGCCGATCACTTGAGACTGCTGAGACACATTTGTCAATAAAATATAGGTATTATCGTCCTATGACAATCCAGATGAAGAACTGAGATCTCCACTTTCAGGACTCGGTACTGGTAAGTTATCATCTGATAAAGTCTTGTTAAGAGAACTATTTCGTCTTTCAGTTCTAGGCATCACATTTGTGTTGAATTCCTCATGATGCAAAAGTTCCTGCTGCATGATGACTTGAGTAATTTTCAACTTAGTTTTCCTTGAATAGTTGAATAGGATATATGCTGTAGGAACATATGTAAATAATAAACAGTTTCAGTATTACCTACTATTTTCATCCAATCGCATCCCATATTATGTCTCTCTTATTAATGTGTTTGTAATCATCATGCCTTTTGCTTGCGATACAACATTAACATAAAAATGCTGCACAATCTAGATCGGATGCGCTTTTCACCTTTCTGATATTTGACAGGCTGTGCTTGATAGGAAGGGTGTCCCAAAACTTCAAATTTCCAAACTCAACTTTTATTTTAAAAACTAAACAAGTCATGAAAATGTTAACGTCATTTTTCGTTTCACAAAAAAGCACCAAAGGTAGGGACATACGCCTCAGTCGCGACCAAAATGAGACAGTGTACTTTCAATATAGGCAGCAAGTTCAATACCCGATTTTCGATAACAAGAGCAAAGAAAAAATGAAGTTATGAAGTCCGTGATTTGCATTTTTCAGAAAATAATTAAATAGCGGTGACCAACGAGAAGTGCTTACGGAAAATAGGTGTTCCAACATTGCCGTTACCGCATTCTAGAAAAGAAATTGAAACGTTGGAACACAATAATATTTAAATCAAAATACTCTAACTTTAAATTACATTTTATTGCTCACCATAAACAGTTTAACTGATTGTTGTGGACCGACCTACACGCCGTTAGTTTTGTTTTGTTTGTTTTGTTGCTTATGCAATTTTTAACGGTGTTATAGAATTCTATAGCCATGATACATCCTTCGAGTCATTAGACAAAATCAATGGTACGTAACAAAAACCAAAACCATGGTATCAGTTTCAATCCGTGCGTCTCGGGCCATCTATTGGATGATAGCCGCGTCACCCGTGGGAATTGTAACCAGTGAACTGTTGGTAACTAAAAATCTGTAAAACCTAGTCTGGCGAAACGTGGTGATGACAAGCTGGAGAATTGGAGAACATTGCTTTAAATAAATAAACATTTATAATCATTTTATGGTTTGTCGTGAATATTCAGAATCGCCAGTAGAACAGGTCATTGGCTATTCAAGTTTTTTACTGGAAAGAAATAATATCATTAAAAGCGAAAAAAAAAGAATCGTCGTTTGAAATCGTTTTTTTTTTTCCTCTCAATTGCATTTCGGTTGGCACTAGATGAATAGATAGATAGACAATCCAACTCCGTATTTGTAAAATGTTGTGCTCAAAATTTGAAGTTTAACAGAGGCATCTATTATCTATTTTATCTTTCTTTCTTTTAACTATTTTAACTGGCAAGTCTGTAGGCAATACTTTTTGCATTTGTAGTTGATGGGTTGACGATGATGCTCAACAGATGTCAGAGCAATCGGAGTTAGAGATTCTTTTCCTTAATAAAGGTACTTTAATATTAAATAGTTTTTTAATACTCCAGTTTATACCTAAATACACAGTCATACTATTAAATCTATAATTTTTTGTTAAAGATAATTATTAATTAAACAATTTGCGACATTTACGATTTTTTATATATTGTTAAAATATGTGTGTCGATAAGCCGTTCCGATAAAACTTGTTGAATAACTTTCATATCGTTTGTTACCTTTGACTGGATTTCCCTGGTTATGCAAATTAATGATGCTTTTGACACTGATATACATTCCGTCTACGAGCAGGTCCCTACAGATAAAAATGGCAGTAGCATATTTTACATGAGGTTTTTATTTTTATATCATCGCAACATTTTCAAACAACTGTTGCAAACAACAACTGTTCTGTCGCCCTCAGATAAGATTTGGGAATTAAAAATGAAATATGTTATACTTGGTGAAAGTTTTTTTATTTTATGAATTTTACAGTATAATTATGACCCTCCCAATTCTGTCAATATCGATACCCTAAAAAATATCCCTATATATTCAAAAAAATGCTACGCTTTATTCAGAGTGGTCGCTTTTCGGATTTCTTAGAAACTCGCAACGTGAAGTTATTAAGTTTGTTAATTGTTTTATTTTTACTTATTACCGTCCTATGCAGTAATATAAATGATAGCGAACTTTTTTCCGCTTTCCTACAATACATAGTTAATTTCACTTCGCTTTTGTCGTTTGCCATGTGCATTTTGTTTCTTAATTTTGTTACCTTTATTTCTTAATACAATTATCTATCAGTGTCTGTAAACATCACATTGAAAAATAAAATATAGAGGAACAAGAAAACTGTTGAAAATAGATTCAGGGAAATCATAGTCAACGAATGCAGTATTGTTCTGCATTGGGTCAGACATATAAGGGCGGTTAAAATAAGTGCTAGTTTGTTATATAAATGTTGGGTCGCGCTGCAAATATCGGGGAAAAATGATGTCTTTATTACTTTTTACAAAACTTCTGGATTCCTCCGTCGGTTTTTGTTGAGTCGAACTTGCTAACGTTTAGAACTTCAGAGCTTAAATGAAACCGTTTCCCGTTTTACTTAAGTAACTCTCTACCAGACCAAATTAAAAAGTCCGGTTTCCTTGTTTAAAAAGACTCTTGTCAGATTAAAGCAAAAGTACAAGTCGTTTAAGTTTGTGTTATATAGTTATCTTTTGTTCTCACTTGACTGTATTTTACTATTACTTATTTTATTCAATGTTTCATTTAACATATGTAGGTGGCTATTATTATTATTATTTTTTTATTATTTTGTAATAGTAATGTTTGATAAAATGTAAATAAAGGCATAATTTATTTATTTGCTTATTTATTTATCAACGGGCCAACCGCCAAATGTAAAATAAAATTCACATAAACAAAATACTAAAAAACAAAATAAAACAAAATAAAACAGAATGAAATAGATAAAGATCCAACCGTAGTATGACAAACATTGGTTTTCCAAAATGCTAATATTAATATAAAAGTCGACACGACAGTAAGAACACAGATAACAGTAGCGAGGCATTGTTACAAGATACTATTCAGAAGTCAGACAACGGAACAGTTTCACTGACGGTCTTTTAGTTCTTTGTTAAATATTTTTGCACTCTGACAGCAGTCAAGTTGGTCCGAAAAGCAATTTGCTGGTGCAGCTGATCTAGTAACTAATTTATCTAAAACCGATTGTTGCGGCGGTAAAATACTGTAAATATTGAGAAATTCTCGTATTTGCTTGTTCTCAAGTCAACTTTTTTCTTATTTTCACAATTACGTCACGATCATGAAAGGTTCAATCAAATAAAATAGGTGATTACTGGACTTGAAATTTGAAATTTTTGCCAAGAAACAAATGTAAAAAAATTAAAGCCAGCAAAACCTTTTATTAAGAATGACTTTTTCCGGTATCTTTCACTCTAGGTGCCTTCTCAATCCGTGGATATATTGTATATATTTTGTTAAATAAACATTTATTTAAAAAAAAAAGCAAAGTTGTCATTGCAAATTTACATTTTATAACTGTCGCGTTAAAAAACAAAGCATAAAGATTTTATCGAAAAGATCCGGTTAACTCGTAATACTTTGCGCTTATCTGAAACGACCAACGAAATTAGAGGTCGAGAAATACAATAGGCCAGAGCGCAAACGATTCAAAACGCGACTGGGAAAAAACAATCAAATTTATAAAGGAACGACCACCGTCAATGAGAAATGCATTCGCCATAAAGTTTTGCTTGAACCTGCGCAAAAAGGTTAAGGCAAAAGGCACCGGGGGGTATAACGTCAAACTATAAAGTTATTCGGCCGTCATCCCTCCTAAGTCGCGGACGCAACAGAGCTTTGACTTCTGCGCGAATACATCGCGAAATTTTTTCCCGTCGGTGTATAAGTGTGTCACCTTAATGCCAAAAAGCGTTTTGCTAGTTAGTGCTGCGTGAACTTTATACATTAAATTAATTAAATTAAATTAAATTAATTACTTTGGGCTAATTTTGTGCGCTGGTTTTATTTAGTCGACCGGGTGAAACGCCTCTTCGCACTTTCTCACTTGACGACAGGTAAATTTATAATTCTATTTAATTTATTGCGGTATTCAACGACAACCAATTAATAATAATAATAATAATAATAATAATAATAATAAGAAGCAATGAAATGCGTAATATCTAATTAAAATAAAATAAAATAAGTATTAATTAATAATGTTGAATTAATGGTAATTACAACAACCTTGACGATTACGTAGGGTGCTCAATTTTTTGTTGTGCCACGTCATAAGCGTTATTTTAAAACATTTGCGATAAACTTTTCTTCGACCAAATTACAGTGGAGACAATATACGAGATAATTGTATCGAAATAATTACTTTCTAGTTTGGAGATCGATAAAATTTTAATTCGCTCTTGCTAGTAAATATTGTTTAATATTATACATATTCATCTTTCGTTGTTTTCGAGAAATTATTTTTTTTTATTTATTTTTGCTTTTTAAGGGAGGTATAGGAGGTACTTATCAGTCTCTCATGTCAATGTCTCAAACTAATATTACTTATATATAAATAACAAACATGAACCTTTTATGCATGCATTACCTTAAAATAAACTTGTTGCTTTTTAAAATCGAATATCGATAATCGAAATATTTTACTATCGGTTTAGATATATCACAATTGTTCAAATTAACAAAAAAAGATTTTTAAATCTCCCAAATTAGAACAGGCTTCGGGCAGGTGTGCTATATTGGACACCGCAATGTCAGACCCTTCAAATCGGGAGTACTTGAACTTAGTTGTTGTAACTTCTTCAATGCAGTTGATGAGGGTTAGTCTCTGTGGCTACATTGACGTCAATTAATGAAAATTGTTTCAAACAATTCCAATTATATCATTTATGTAGCACTCAAATCCATCTTTTAAAAAGCACTTATTTATTGCTCTCGGTGGGAAATGTCGCCATGCTGTCCAAATCCATATTAAAGCGTTGGCTACAGTAATGTTTTTTTAAATTTTGTCTAGTGTATAACTGTTGTCTGGCCATCTGATGTGGCGTTTGGTCTAAGAAAAATAAGTTTCACATAATTTTAGAATGCATTTAGATGTTGCATTATCTAAAAACAATACCACTTTCCTATTCTCTCTCTTCATCTTAGAATCAAACTGTGCGAACCTTTCAAACATCGAGGATCTTTGCTTTCGGGTAAATTTAAAAATAAGGCATATTTCAAAGGACTCTGTGTCTATTCGGAATTCGGAATCCACTCCTTTCGGTGTTTCAATCATTTTTTCGTTCAAAATGTTGTTGTGTTAGTGTTTAAGGTTTACATAGTGTAGTGTATTTTCCCTAATTTTTGGAGCCAGAGGCCCGTGAGGAGAGCGGTGTTTTTTTTTACTTTAGTTGGTTTAAAAATTTTTTGTCAACGGTGACCAACAGGAATCGTTAATCTTATTTGTAAAAAAATTGAAACATGGTTGTAACCTGGTCAAATTACCTCATGTGTAAATAAAGAAGAAAAAGAAGACTATTCCAAAGCACTGTAAAGAAATATATAAGAACAGTTTGCCTTATAATGTTGCGTCTCGGGTAAATAGATTTAAAATGTTAAAATATTTTGTAGTTACATTTTAGTTCACATGGCAATCAAGTTGGAAAAAAACAGTAAAAGCAATTTTTTTCTATTGCAGATGAAATTAGCACTGAGGGTTGTTGAATATGAATTTGGAGCAGTTATCACAGAATTATATAGTTATTTATTTATTTATAGACGCGAAAACTTAGCTCAAGCTTATACTAATTAAAATATATTTTATTAACAGCTTTAGTTAAGCAATTTCACATTATGACGTATTTGTTTTCTTCTTTGTAATAATTTATATGTATAATACAAAGCTATTGCTTAAATTAATTTATTTACCAATTTATACAATATAGTGTTCCCAAACAGTCTAAAACCATATTTCCAATGTACCTAAAACTAAACTGATTAGTTAAAATACAATTTTAAAAAAATAATTTTAAATATAATATAATAATTAATCTTAATATTTACGAAACATGGAGATGACATTGAACTGAAACCCAAAAATTTATTTTTATTATTAAGGATTTTAGGAAATATATATTTTTTCATGGGTTCGTAATTTCAGACCGCAGTAAATTGAAGTTTAAAAAATATATTTTGCTGCCCCACTTAAAGATTATCCTACCTACACTGTAGTGTAAAATTATAACGTAGGACTGCCTCACTCCTCTACCTTTTGGGGAGTGCCCTCCTTCCCCACGACCCGCTAACCCCTTCCACATGGCCTGTAGACCCCGCCCACTTTACCCTTGATCTCTCGAAACTCCACCTAATGGATAAACAAGCAAGCACCATTGTGGGTTTAATCAATCCCCCTCCTCAAATATACTCCCCCCTCCCTTAGCGATGGTGTCCTCAATGGCGGCGTAGCCAATCAGACCCCAGTGTTATTTTCATCTGCAACTTGCTCTTACTGTTTTTTTCCAACTTGGTTGCCATGTGAACTAAAATATAACTACAAGTTATGAATTTGGATCAATTATCACAGAGTTATATAGTTATTTATTTGTTTATAGACGCGAAAGCTTAGCTCAAGCTTATACTAATTGAAATATATTTTATTAACAGTTTTAGTTAAGCAATTTCACATTATGACGTATTTGTTTTCTTCTTTCTAATAATTTATATATATAATACAAAGCTATCGCTTACATTCATTTATTTACAAATTTATATAATATAGTGTCCCCAAACAGCCTAAAACCATATTTCCAATGTACCTAAAATCAAGCAGATTAGTTAAAATACAATTATTAAAAAAATAATTTAAAATGTAATATAATAATTAATCTTAATATTTACGAAACATGGAGATGACATTGAATCTGAAACCCAAAAATAATCGACTTTATTATGATCATTTTGATACAATTATTCAGGATTTTAGGAAATATGTATTTTTTTTGTGGATTCTTAATTTAAACTGCAATAAATTAAAGTTTAGTTAGTAGCCAATCAGAGTCCAGATATTTTCCCCGTAAGAAAAGCAATGACGGCCCAAGGAGACTTGACGGTGGAGACATTGTTCGAATGACAGTCAGCACCCCTAGTGGTTGGAATGTAAACCAGCGTTCCTCTTGGAATAATATTTTCTACATTAAGGTACCCACACCTAGTGGGTTTTGACAAAAAAATTATTTCAAAACATTTATTACTGCGAATGTTACCCTCGTGGCCCTCTACCCGCAATTTATATTTTTATGCGCTAGCGATATGGGAAGAAAACACGAAAAGTGATCGATTTATTTTTCGGAACAAGAACCTGGCTTGTACCCCAACAATATTTTCAAAACAAACACGAGGTTAAAATTTTCAATTAAGAAACGGGAAGTAGGACATTAGAAACATATACATTTTTTAAATTGATCGAGCTATCTATCGTGCAATAACTCCGCAAAATATTGGCACATTCTTCTATTTTAAGATACTTTGAAGTATTCGACTAATTATCTCAACTAAATAGTCGAATACTGCTGCTGCTACTACTACATGAAAGGGTCTTTCTGTGGCATCTCAACAAAGCTCAATGAAATCTGAAACGTTCATGCTAAATACTGCAATATTCTCTCTGCTAACCCCCTAGCAGACGCTATTTTAACCTGCACTCCGTTTAAAAGAAAACTTTTACAACAAAATAGCCTCTCTGAACCACACTTAAGCGCATCACCCTTTCCCTGTCTAGCAGACATCAGACGAATATCGTCCCCTTTCATCATAAAATTATAAAAAAAATTAAACAGTTGGTGTAACCAATTTGGCACTAAAAATGGAAATTTTCGAGACTCTACCCACTCTAGCGGATGGTGTACATAAAAGGTGCCTACAATAAATTTTATTATTATTTTTAATGCAGTGACACATCGATTATCTAATTCTGAATTTGGCCAGAGTATCTGACTATAATTTACGCGCACTCTAAAAAGCGACCCAGTCGAAGCAATGAGAGTCACTGAACTCCCATTTTAAATATGATGTTCAAAACAGACACCTTCCAGGAGGCGATATTCGAGATTCAACAACCACCTACTAGTTCGGTACTATTGTTACAAAAAAGTAGGTGATAAGTGGAATAATGTGGAAGATAAGGTACTGCATCAATATTTTCCTAAACATATTGCCATAGCATTCCGTAAGAGGTTACCTCGAAGTTCTCTCATTTAGTCAGTAAGCCTTTAAATAGGAAATTACAATCCAATCAAGGGAGGACTTTTCAATAGAAACATTGTAGTAGTAGAAATATATCAATCATCTACGTCTTCTTTAACCACATGCCAACTTAAAAATATACTGCAGTACCCTGAAAAAAGAGGTTCTATATTTCCATAAATATATGTTTTCAAAATTTTACTAGAACGGTTCGCGATATATGCGGTGTTGGATGCAATGTGACCACGACCACTGCTTAAACTTTGCATATTTCGTGTCCCCGTCGACTGATCTGTTTTATATATGGAAGTTAATAGTTCATCGCACCGCTCTAAACTTCCTATAAAAAGGCAACGCAATTCTGGTACTTAACGTATCAAGTAATATGAGAAATTTACATTTACAGTACCCCTTTGCACGTGCGCACTGACTTTAGTGCCATAAGTGCAGCCGTACTATCAGAGCAGAAGAAAACTCTCCTGCTTCCGTGGTTGAGCCGAAGCACCTCTCTGGCCGCCATCAATATAGCGAAAATTTCCGTCTGAAACACGGTGCAGTACTGACCCAGAGGGATCGGGAAGCTTGATCCCCTGGTCCCGCAACCCGCTCCAGCTCCGGTTAAATCTCCCATTCTGGACCCGTCCGTGTACCAGACTAGTCCATCCCAGGAGCCAACTCTGCCCTCTGTCCATTCTTCAATTGATGGGAAGAGAAAAGTCACAATATACGTTTTCTAAAATAATTCCGCCTTTAGTAAGTTGAACCTATGTTGGCTTCGAAAAGCGAGGGCTATATATCTTCCAAAATGATCCTAATCGTTAGCCTTTAGAGGTTC